CCCAGTATCAAATCAGTGCCATCTGTACATTTTACTCACCAGTCTGGTTGATGTTTCTTTCAGTCTCATCCATGAAATCAACTTTTAAAGGGTTCATCAGCTTCAGTGAGTGTCGCCTCACACATCTTGTCTCCTGCTTTAACATGAATAAATATCCACAATTACAGAAATCAAGAACCGAGCGTTTCCACAGTAATCTCACCTGGAGCTTAGAATTGACAAATTCAGAGAGTTCAGTGTTTTTGCTATAGTGCTGGTCCTCAGTTGTTGATTTGTATTTCTTTGATCTTGCTCTCCCAGTGGTTCAGCACTCGTGGTTCTAAAGTTTATGTGTGTTGGATGTTTAATACCTTCAGTCAGAGGTTCATCATCCACCTTCATGTCATGATTTCTTGTTTTAACATGAAATAGTTTCAGAATTTGCACTTACAAGAAGGAAACAATGTCATATGTGACCTTTTCAGTCTCTTTTGCCTGCTTCCTCTTATATCTCTTTTTTATACTTTACAATAATACAGCTAATAAAGTGTTGATATGTTCAGAATTTGGAGCTGAGGTTTTCATCATATGTGGTTTTCCTTTCTGTTACTCACTAAGAAGGTTGTCAGTTGGCTCTGTGTCCTCCAGGTTAATATGCAGTAGCTGTTCAATGACTTCAGCCTCAGTTTCCTTGTCCATCATGTTCATCGACTGGATTCCTGCTTTAAAGATGGAAGAATCAGAATTGTGTAACTTTCTGAAACATCAAAAATGAAGATTAGCTCATACAGCTTCATGATCTGTTTTACTTTTACTCACCGAGACTCTGGTCAACTGTTCTCTGGACATCATTTAGCAGATCTGCTTCAGCATCAGATCTGGAGCATCTGGACTTCTTTTACACATCTTTTCATGCATGAGACAGAATCATTCATTAAATCCTGATGTAAGTTAGATATTTGGTATTATGTATGCAATATTATGTAGTATTAGTTGGTGAAGGCTGAAGATGGTCATTGGAAGAGGGAATGCTGATATTGTTATATTAAATCCTGTTTTGAGACCAGTTTAACTGTTATTTTCTTCATGATATCTAGTGTTCATTTGCACTACTCACCCAGAAGTGGGTCATTAGATGTGTCAGTTTCATCCAGATGAGTCTGCATGCTGTGCGTAGAGGCTTTAGCCTCAGTATCTGCAGCACTCATCACTTCACACCCTGATTCAAAGATACAGGAACAGAATTTTCTATAAATTCTTGATTAAACATCCCCATAAGCTAGTATTACGTCTCCATAGTATAATAGTAATGGTAAAGTGAAGGAATCTGTGACTGAGCAGGTGCCTTTCTATGCTAGAGGTCTTTTGAACATCATGTGAAAAGTTTTATTAAGCATTTATTCATAGTATACTTTTATTAATCAATATTTTAAAAATCTGTCATTTTGGATTTATTATGTATTATTAATTTCTTTTTATTATTAATTTCAGCTTCAGTGAGTGTCGCCTCAAACATCTTATCTCCTGCTTTAACATGAATAAATATCAACAATTATAAAAATCAATGACCATGTAATCAGCTTTATTTTAGACAAATGAACAGATATTTTGCAGTGTATCATAATGAATTAATATTTTTAAAGTGATATCTCTGTGATTATTAGCTTGTTATGGTATTTGTTTCTCACCCACATTTTCGGTCTCTGTCTCCTGAAGCTCAATGTGCATTAGCTCTGCTTATTAATTTTCTTATTAAGTCGAATTCCTGCTCTTAAATTAATTGAATATCAGCAGTTCTTCTGCTGTATTATCATCACACCATCAGCTCAGTTCCTGTACATACCCAGATGTTTCTCCATGGTGTCCTCAGTCTCATCTAAATTAATGTCCATGAGCTGCTCAATTGCTTCAGCCTCTGCTTCAGCAGCCGCCATCTTCAGCTTCTCATTCTCTGTTTTCACATGAATTAATGCCATCAGTTTACCAGCTATGTCATATTCATGATATCAGTTATTAATTTTCCGTACTACTGGCAACAGCTTAACAATCTCCTGTAATATGATAGCAACCTCCTAGGAACACCCTATCACCCCGGACACCATGGCAACCGCCTAGCAACACATTAGCAACTACCTGTGATGCCATAGCAACCACCTAGCAACAATTAACCAACCACATAGGATACCACAGGAACTGCCTAGCAACCAACTGGGATACCATACCAAATGTCTAGCCACACCATATTAACCACCTGTGATACCATAACAGCACCTTAGCAACCACCTTGGATACCACAGTAATCTCCTAGCAACACCTTAGCAACCACCTGGTGGTTGCTAAGCAATCGTTGCTTTGCATTTTGTCGTTGCAGGCAGATTACAGGCACAAAAAAAGATCTTGAAGCTGAGGTTATTTGTGTCACACGTCCCGCAGACTCTGATACACACTTGGACTCCATCTTCCAGAATCCTCTGGGAGATCACCTGACTCCAGTGACCCCTGACCTGCCCTCGCGTTCCAATCAGCGCTCTCACTCACCTAAATACTGATTCTGTTCACCTGTCTTGCATGTCACATGATCCTCTTAGTTTAGTGTAAAATCCTGGGCTTTAGCATAGGCAATTTGCGAGGTATTGTATCGTTTATGATCTACTGAGTGTTCCATTGTTTGTTTGACTACTGTTTATGACCATTTTGTCCGTTTTTATAACTTTGACTTTTTTGCCTAACCCTTTGGATTGTTTGCCTTTTGTGCTCCCCCAGTTTATGACCATTTTGCCTGTTTCCTGGACTTTGCCTTTTTGCCTGACCCTTTTTGGACTGTTTACCTATTATTATGCTTGTGTTTTTGCTCTGGCTGTATTTCCTGGATTTGACCCATGCTTGTTTTGTGACCACAAACCTGGATTGCGATTCCAACAATAAAGCCTCTTTTGCATTTTTTAACTGCGAGCATCTGACTTTTTCTGGCTCGTTACAATTTGTTTAGAAAAACGCCTTCTAGCATATCAGTTGAAAACAATGCAAAATGAAAGATGTATTAAGGCCATAAAAATATCATCCAGGTCTATGACCTATGAACCCCTGTTGATCAATATTACACTTAGAGACTTTTATAAATTGCTTTATAAATCTGATTGCTCAAGCTCAGTTGAGGAGACAACAGCTTACCTATATGCGATTCCTCTGCCCACTATTTCGGAAGCAGACCGTGCTATTTTGAATGCTCCCTTTACTCCTGAAGAGGTGTTGGAAGCTATTAAATCACTGCCTTCTGGTAAATCACCAGGCCAGGATGGATATCTTTTAGAATTGTATAAGGTGTTCTGGCCTGAGATAAGTCCCATATTAATGCCTGTTATTAATGATATGTGGGAATATAACACAAGAGCACAGAGGTTGTCTTTGAGGCTGCCCACGTTCGCCATTAGTAATAGAAGCTTTGATTTAAGCTACTACTTATATTTGATGATTACCACATAAAGTATATTGCTACTGTGAGCATGAAAAATATATTTTTTATTTCTTACTGCAACTCTGCTAAATTAAAATCACGTTCAGATCTACCAAGGTTGGTGCAGAGCTATTGAACATTTTCTTTAATTCGGTAAACGCTCCACCCTGAAGAACTAATTCAAGAAGGAATTCAACACCAGAGCGCGTTGTTTCTCAGGGCACATCAGTGCTGTACTGTCTGCAAAATCTGCCTGCTTTAACAGTTTACTCTTTACAGATGCTCATATCGTTCTTGCAGTGTTATGTTAGTAACATAAGACAATCAATAAAACAATACTGAAAATATGTGTTTGATTCTGGCACATCAATCACAGACCATATTTTTGGCCAAGCATCAGCGACATTCATGGTGGCAAATATGAGAGTGCAAATAACAGAACCCTTGCTTCCCTGAAAAATTGGTGCTTACTTTAGAAAATAAAATGGGTTTGAAAACAGCCTGATGTTCCTGATCATGTTCATTAATAGATTTAGAGACATGTTGTTAGCATGGCATTAAATGTGGTTTTAGTTAATGGCCTGATTGCATTTCGTCAGCCAGCCACATTTTTTTTGGAGGGGGGGAAGAATGTCTCCTGTGTTAACCTCTCCTCCTATTAGGGAGGCTTGGCTTTTGGCTTAAAGGATCTGTTTCAGTGAAAACTCCTGATTTTTTTTCCATTGTAACCTGCAGCATTTTAAGTTTCTATGTCTGACGTTTAGAGAGAACTGAAGCTAATCTCAGTCTCTTTTGATTTTTAGAGCTATGGAGAAATGACTGCTTACTGCAGTACTAAATAATAATTATAGTAATTCATTGATGCCAAAGTCATTTCCAGCTTTGGATGTACACTGTGCTAATTTCTGAAGCATATATTATGTGCTATAGGTTATGTTAAGCTACCCAATCCTTGAGCACATGGTGCTGAATTGTTCTAAATGGTACAATAACCTTTACACTAAATAAAGACCACAAATTTACCACATAAGATTTTATTCATTCAGAACAGGCACATGAACACAATATGGAGTGAACTACAACCTTGTTTTCTTGAAAACTAAAGTATAGACAAAATCACACTTTACTTATGTTTATTTTAATACTGACAATTAAATATGACAAAAATGCCTAAAAAACAATATTACTAAAAATAAAAGAAGAATTATTTTTAAATCTTTTAAAATGTTACAAACTGAGCTTCAGTAACATTTGTAAACATTTGTAACCAGTTATCAAATCTCTTTAAACAAATATGTGACTCATCAAACAATTCTGCATGTTTTGCTTATATCCAATGTTTGTTGTGGTGTGAAAATAAAAAAGCAAGGTAAATGGTAAATGGTTATGGAGACAGAAAATAATAATACAAAAGCTTTCAAAATAAAACTAGGAAATGTAGGTACATAATACATAAGACAAACATTTATTAAGAATAAAATCAAAAAGTATTTTGCTCATTATTTAAGTTAAGCACCACAGCATTCACTCACAGAGACCATAAATGACCTGCTGGATGTTTCAGTGAATAAAGCTGTTATTTTAAAAATCTGACCTGCCAAATTGAGTGATTTCTAAAATGGTCTTAAAAGCAGACAGACTAAAATCATAATGTAGAAACTTGGTGTTCAACACTCAGCAGGTTGTTCTAGCTTCTATCAGCGCTTACGTTCTGCTCGCTTCATCAGGATTAGCTGTGAAATACACAATGAACAGTTCAAATTAGGCTTTAATCAGGCTAAGAGAGAAATGTTTGATTCAGTGAGGATTAAAATGAGCTTCTTCTGAGTGATTCACTACTGAAGAAACACACAGGAAGAGTTCTCACGTCGAGCTCTGTAGCATTTAACTCCCAGTATGATGGACACCAGCAGATATGGAGACACTGCCAGTAGACTACTGAGCAGACTGAGGACTGAGAATGGAGCTCCTGATTCAGACAGACAGACACACACACACACACACACACACACACACACACAATGATTCTTAAGAACATGAAAATAAAATGACAGTTTTAAGATTTTTTCTGTTAAAAGCAGCAAACCTCTGACTGAGATCCAGCTCTTTGGTGACTCTCCTTTCTCTGAGTGTTTACAGTGATAGAGACCTTCATCTGACTTTGAGACAGAACTGATGGTCATCTCTCCTGTAGTCTGGGTCTGGAGGAGAAATCCATCTTTATAGAAATCAGCTGTGAGGTTTGAGGGCTTTGAGTGATATAAACAGCGGAGAGTCAGAGAATCTCCATCAGTCACAGCATGAACAGGACTCTCCAGGATCACATCACCATCTGTAGGAACAGAGTGGAGAAGAATTTGTGACTAATTTAAAGTAACTACATTGAAAAAAACATGAAATCCCCTTCATTATTTTTCCATAGTGACATGCAGAATATGTGTAAAAATGAAAAGTAAAACTTCTATTACACTGTTTTCACGTTGCTTGAACTCTCTACTGAAAAGCAATGCATCATGATTTGCATTTGCAAAACAGAAAGCTGAATTTCTGTCAGAATTTAATACAGTCCATCGTAAAATGAACAGCTACACTGTTTTCCACCATGTAGCAGTTCAAACAGCATTTAATCAGCATTTAATCAGTAAAATGATTAAATTATACTTTTACTTTTCATTTTATGTTTAAAGTAATCTACGGTGCAAAGCAATATAGCTGTGCACTGATTACATTTCAAGATGGATTGTATTCAATTCTGAAACAAATTCAGCATTTTATTTTTGAACTTCAGTTTCTCATGTATTGTTTTTCAGTAAAGAGGTCAGTAGACAAGCAAAAATGTAATAAATGTTTAGATTTTCATTTTGGCACATATTCTGCATGTCACTATGGAAAAGTAGTGTAGTGTGCATTGCATTTCAATGTGGGACAAATTCCTCTTCATAGCGGGTAAAGAGTGAGACAATAATGAAAACAGCGTGAAGGACACAGTAATGATCTCAACACAGAGACTTCATCAGCAGATATCAGTGAACATGTGGTGGAGTTGGACTGATAGAGTTTTCCAGCGTGGATGGCAGAATACTAGCTTTTTTTGTTTCATTTTCAGTATTTACATTTCAAACTAGTGTTTACTGAAATACTGAAATACTGAAATACTGATACGACATTGGTTTTCATGCTTTATTACAACACCTGTAATTTCAGCATTTCTAAGTTTGTTCTAGTATATTAGATTCCTATCAGTGATGAGACTAATATAGACTCACTGTGCACTGTGATGTTGACAGGAGAACTTCTCCCTCCAGATTCAGACTGACACCAGTAAACTCCAGTGTGGGATGTGGAGATGGAGCTGATGTTGCATGTAGATCCTGTAACTGATCTTCTGTCTGATGAACAATCTGACACTTTCCCACTGTGTGTATATCGTCTCACTCTCCATCCAGTAGACTCACTCTGTCCCTCACAGCTCAGAGAGAGACGGTCAGTAGTGAAGTGTTGAGTTCTGCTGGGACTGATGATCAGAGAGACTGGAGGAGAGGTAGCTGAAGAATAGAGAGAAGACATGCATTGCAGCATGTAACATAACTAATACTAAACAAATGAACTGTTCACTCTTAAAACAGGTTTGATTAAGACTATACATTTACACTCACTAGCTACTGTGGCAGATACATCTATTTTATTAATATACCTTGCAGTGTATTATAGTTAAACGTTTTTCATACACAATCACATTGTCAGGTGGCTGACAAATAACATTTGTATATCTAGCCTGCCTGTCGCTGACCCACCAAATGTGAGCATGTTAGGAGTGTTCTTTAAAGAGTAACTACACCCTAAGACCTTTTTTCATTAACAGCTGAAATGCATTGCTCTGTAATAATAAAATAAATTGAAAAATTGAAATGTAAACACATCTTTCCAAACTGTAAAAGTAACACTTTTATCATGGTCAGTTCCTCCTCTGCAGCGCCCCTCTGGTTGGTTCAACTATTCTATAGGCGCGGATGACGTGTCTTCGTACCAAAGTATTAGTCAACCGATGTTACCACCCCTGATGGCGCTCAACTCATGCCACACTCATGAAAGCACAGGAGTCCAGAGCGAGGAGATAACCACACTCACTTGCTGACCTTAATTTCCCCCTGCACCACCTCACAAAGTTGCGATATGCCAGATGTCTGTAACAACTGTAAATAACACAATTAATCAAAGCTTAGTTTGCACTAAAGTTGTTATGAATAGCACATTAATTGATAATGTTCAATGTATGACTAGGTAACCTGAAGGACCGGTTAAGTTAGGATTTATGCAAGTCTCCATAAAGCTGCTGGTGTTGTATCCGATTCATGTTTCCCTTCAAAACTTAAACTCTCGGGCGCAGCACTCACTGAACAGAAATCAACAGCAAGCAACATAAACTACGGAAAGAGAAAAGGTTCAGGAAACATTAACGTTAAATGGCCATTGTTACTGAATGTGTCAACCTTTCATCTGTACAGCCTTTCTTGAACTTTTTTCTCTGTTTTATCGAATGCGGACCTGCTGAACAGGTTATTAGAAGTTAGCTGTCACTGTTTTAGGGAATGTTTTACCATTTGGACGCCTCTCCCGCTCCCCATTAATCATTTTCTGGCACTATGTTAACTCTTCAGCAGCTTGAGTCAGTGGCTCATACTGGTAATGATCAAGACACGCTGCCTGATCAGAAACCTTTTCTCTGCCGAAGATAGAAATGGTAGTGGAGAAAAATCGTCAGCTTTGTAAGACCTCTCAGTTGCAAAAGTGCTGTTTGATTCCATTATTTTCTGGTAGTTAACATTAGTGATAAAAAACACGGCAGACCGCCTGGTTTCCATCACAGCCCCACCTCCAAACCCGAACACCACTGCAGTGCCCCTCCCAATGCGCCCCTCCTGTTTTTGAGCATTATTCAAAGATGAGCCAGGGGTGGAGTTAGCTGAAAATAGTGGGGTCTAGTTATTCTTTGAATAAAACGTGAACAGCAGCAGGTATCATTGCTGAAGAAATTCATTCCTGTTCATTTGACTTGGGGTAGAGCAGCCTTTCCCAAAAGCAGGGAGACAATCACCCATAATAGAAAAAAGAGATCTCCTTAATGTCTCTGTAGTTTCAATGAGATCAGATGAAAAGATAAAGGACAGCCTGGCTGTTCAAGTAGTTCTTCAATTATCTCATGTGTCTAACGTCACCCAGTGTTCTTAGATCTGCAAGTAATAGTAATAGTAATTTTTTCTGGGCAGGAAAGTATCTCATGTCTCATTTCTGGTCTAATGCTTTTTCTCCTAATTTTTTTTAAAGGGAATTGCCATTAAGTCTACTAAACCACCAAAGAGCAACATTTGAGCAACAAAATTTACCTCTGGGTAAAGACCAGAGTAATCCCCTAGTGTTAGTATTACCCTTTTCTTATTTTGCTCAACTCAGAGACTTCATCTTTTATTTAAGACACTATCTGAGGAAAATTACTGCAGTTGGATAATGAGTTTCGTGTGTTCAGGTTTTGGCCAAGACCAGATCATTACACTTTAGGCTCATATAACTGTGCAGATGAAACCATTAGAATGTGTTCCTACCCACCTCTGCTGTCCACATACTGAAAATTAGTAGAATGTTTCTTACTCACCTGTGACGTTTACCCAGAGTACATCACTGTACTGCGTGTAGTAGGCTGGATTTCCTCTCACAGCTCTGCACCAGTACTGACCTTCATCAGAGACACTAACTGATCTGATGATGTAGAAGTGAGTTTCAGTCTTGATCTCATTCTGAGGAATTTGTGTGTGTTTGAACCAGTAAAACCTCCATCCAGAAGATTCATCCAGCCTGCACTCCAGAATCACTGAGTCTCCTCTCAGTACAGCTCCTTCAAGACTTGATGTGAGTTCAGGTTTGGGTCTCACTGCTGTTGGAGATCAAGCACAAAGTCCATGAAATCACACACTGTTTTCAGAGTCGTTACCACAGTAATTGCCTTCTACACAGATACACTCTCTCAGACCCTGACACACCACACACACTGTTGGCTGTGGTCAGGCCATTAGGAGAGTTGGTAGTGACCATTGCCTGTGCCTTTACAATCTAGACAATCAGCTCAATTCACACCGACACACACAACAGTGTAATCATTCCTAAAATCTGTCTAATGCAGTACATGCATCGTTAAATTTTGGAGATTATTTTGGAGGATAATTTATTACGCTCGTCAACACATTAGAGCTTAATACTCTGTCCAATAAAGAACACAGAGTAAATAAAGAGAAAAAGCTCTGAAGTGAGTGTCCAGTGTTACAGAATCTAAGAAATATGTTACTTTTCTCATGTGTAATTATCAAACTGATTTATCCCCAGTATGTGTGAACAATATGACAAAAATCATATCATGACATTTCAAGACATATCAGGGGACGGGATTTCATCAGGCGTGGCCTCATCCAACAGACCTGGAACAATGGGTTTGAGAAGGGAGACATGGAACAAATGTGAGACATGATATTGACTAGGCAAATCTAGCTGGTAAGTAACATCATTAACTTTTAGTGACTTATGTATTTGGGCAAAAGCTTCCTACTCCCCTCAGCAAACCTGAAGTCCCTGGTTGACAGCTAAACTCCAAGATGGTAAATGGGGGTCTCTTCTATATGTTGATCAGCTTGCACCTTGTATTGACGCAGGATTTGGTCGATATGTTGATGGGAGTTCTCCCATATCTCCTAACTCTGCTGCATCCAGTCATACACGGCTGGGACGTCCAAAGCAGTAGCTATGGCATTAGAGGAAGTTCGTACCCAAAGATACACTGGAACGGAGTCAAACCAGTGGTAGAATTGATCAAAGAGTCCTGAGCCATTTCTGCTCATGGCAGAAACCGAGCCCAGTCAGTGTGATTGTTATGACAGTATAGCCGCAAAAACCTTCCCAATTCTTGACTAGATTTTTCGCATTGGCCATTGAACTGAGAATGATATCCTGACGTTAGGCTGACTGACACCCCCAGAGGTGAAAGTTTCTGTCAGTGCATGAAATGCAGCATCTGCTGGCTGGCTCCAGAATAGTCTCTTGGCAGTTTCTTTGAGGAGAGCAGTTAGAAGTGCCACTATACTACTACAGCCTCAAATGGATTTCTTCTCATATCTACTTTTTTGTGATTTGTTATAGACCATGATTAACAGACCATGATAATCAATATAAGGGTGGAGTTCCCTGCCCTTGTTCTTTACAAAAAAAGAAGCCAATAGCCACATTGGAAGTGGAAGGATAGATGAATCCCTGATCTAAAGCTTCTTGTACATAATCATTCATGGCAGTCTACTCAGTCTGAGTTAAAGGCTAAACTCGAGCCTTAGGGAGAACAGTGCCTTCCAAGAGTTCAATGGCATAGTCATAGGAGTGATGTGGTGGAAGTTTAGTGGCACTAACTTTGCTAAAAACACGTCAGCATTTTCTGGCAGTAACTCTATTTTGCTGTTTGACTCAGGACTTTCAACAGAGGTGGACATGACTGATACTACTGGGAGATTCAGACAATTTTTATGGCAGTACGGGGACCAAAACAAAAGCTCTTGCTCTGACCAGGAGATGAAGGGGTCATGCTTCTTTAACCAGGGGAGACCAAGGATAATGGAATATTCTGAGGAGTCGAGCACAAAAAAAGTTCTTCCAATGTTAAATCATCATTTTTACAAGCTAATTTGGATAGCAAATCCTTATTCAAACCATTTCGAGAAGCCAGAGTACAGAATTCCAAAGCATAATCAGCCACAGAACGATTGCCTTGACAACCTCTAGCAAAAGTTCTCCACAGGTCCTGCATTCATGAGGGTGATCAAAAACAGCTTTAAAATCCTCTCCAAAATGTTATAGGAAAGGGTCTGTGTGTGAGGCCACACAGCAGTGACCCAATCAAGGGCTTTACCAGTCAAACATGAGATCAGGAAGTAAATCCATGCAAGATCTGAACTAGAAGCAAAAAACCCTACAGTTGTTAGGAGTGTCTTCAAGATTATCAGGCTTACTAACTGGAAACGCAGTAGAAGAGAGCATAGCGGGAGCATGAGAGCTGTATGGGTTGCTCCTGGGGGTAGGAGGATTCAAAGTTTGTAGCTGAGCCGTGATCTCCTTTAGCTGATTGGCGATGTGGGACGGTTGTTGTTGTTGCTCACCTTGCTGACGCGTGAGCATCTCAACAGACTGACTGAAGCTCTCAAGAAGCTGCTGATGTTGTCCCAACACTTGGACCTGGGTGTATACAGCCATGTGAAGAGTCCCCAGATCTGCTGTCTACTTTGATGCGTCAATTTGCTAATTAGCACTGTGGTGGCGAAGTTCAGGCAGTGGCCCACTGCATGGTGACTCATAAAAAGTTTCTGTTTGGTTTAGCTGAACCTTGCAACTGTTCCTCACTTTAAACCAACTCACTGTACAAGTCACTTTCATAATCCATCCCATTTCATCACCTCAAATCCTGTGGCGAGTGACAAAGTGACAGGTGTGGGTTCACTGGCAGCTGCACACAAGAGTCTCAGGCCATAAAAGGTAATCTTCACTGAAAAAGGAGGAGTGGAGCTCAATGGCTTCTGATCAACTATGCAGCCCTTTTCAGAAATGCTCTTCCCACCTCCTTGGCATGAGGAAGAGGCTAGAAAATGTTCCCTATGCATTGTCTGCCCACCATGTATGTGATAAACAACCAGTACATAGTTGTATACTCTTCCTTTAAAAAGTGCAATAACTGAAAATAGCATGCTGTGTGTTGTTTCTCAGATATTGTCCCATCAGAAATACTTCAGTCAGAATCTAAACAACTGAGGAACCTCCATTTAACTTAGCAAGCAACTAGCAAAAGTGGGCTAGTCATGCAAAATCCACTTTACTGATGGCAATTCCATTGTTTTACACCAGAAAATGACATGTAGCAGGACAAACTACCACACATTTAGCTAACAAGTGAGCCAGCAAACATCTAAACTGTGCTCTTCCCTCAATAATTTACTTTAATTTTAAAATTTTCAGACAATTAAAGGTATGTACATGTGACACAACAGCTTGTAGCAGAAAGTATCAGAGGCAGTAATCTAATATAATGTCTTCCATTTTATGAAAGTGGGGGACGTAACCACACTGTGCTTTCCTCCAGGGACAGTTTGGGTTTTACACAGGTTTGGCACAGTGACATATGAAGCATTTAGAGCTCAACAAAAGGGCATTATTAATTTTGAGACAAAAAGGGGCAGGGGCTGCAGCCCCCAATTGTGCACGCCAGTGATGGACAGACACCAAAGAAAGACACCAGAGTGCACCCATCTCAAACTTCTTAGTTTATTCAAAATATTTCTCCAAAATATTAATAAAAAAAAATCCACTAACTCTCATTTTTTAGTTCTGAATCTCAGTTAGGTAAATAATATAGAATTTGCTTTTTAGTCAATTTCTCCACTAGCTGGAACTCTTTCTAATGCACCGTCATGTCAGACATGTTCTCCACTTGGGCTTCCGGATACAGATGGCTGTGGCTTCAAACTTACTCTGGTGTCCTCAAGTTGAGTTAACTGAAGAAAAGCTGTACAATGAGTTACTGTACCTTAGAATTTTAAGTTCAGCTGACTTTTATTTTTAACAATGTGCACATTTTTCCCCACATCAAACTGTTGACTACAAGAACTGTCTGTTCACTTACCATCTGATACAGGTATGTCAAACTGGGCCAAAGTGCTGTGGATATTATGTTTACCCTCATCTAACACTATGAATTCAATTTGTGAACGCCTTACTGATTAGCTGATTAGCTGAATCAGGTGTGTGTAATGAGGCAGTGCACTGAAGTCTGCAGTGATTTGGCCCATGAGGACTGGGAGCGTGACACATGGTCTAATATATCCCAGACTTCGACACACTCTGCTGTTGTAAGAAAATCAGCATAAATCGCTTCATCTTTGAGTGGTCATAATGTTTTGGCTCATCAGCATGTATGTGTGTGTGTGTGTGTGTGAAAGGCATAGTTGAGTTAAAACACAACATTTACACGAAGTAACGTGTAAATAAAGCATTTAGTTTTAACTCATGTTTCAATCAATTCTTTGTAAACTTCCAGTGTTTTGAAACACCACCGTAATGCTATTCATAAATGTATTCAATTCAAGTACATATATATATAAATAGAAAGCATTATAATGCTCACCTTCAACTTCATTAACTTCAATTAACTATCATTATTGTTTTAAAAAATATACATTAACCATAGTACATGATTAACTGAGCAACCAAGCACTAAGATAAACAACTTCATTTATTCATTCATTTAATATAACGTGTACACAATTAATAAGTAGTTATTCATATTGATTTCGAAATGTTTATAACTACATATTTGTTAACATACTATTTAAAATGATTAGCCTTTGTTCATTTTAAATATTTTTTTAAGCAATAGAACACGAGAGGGAGTGTGTTATCACGAAATAACATCACGGCTGTGATGTTATTCGCGATAACACACAATCTCGAGTGTTCTATTGCTTTTATACAACAGTTAAGTAAATAAAGTAAGAAATAAATAAATCGGGCCGTGAATGGGCCTTTAATATGTTTCAGTGTTAGCAATTCCCTCCGCCAAATTATAGTTCCTTAATAAGCAGCTCGTTGCTACGTCAGAGTAACGAGCTCCACTCACTCGCTGCACAGCCAGCAGTTCGTTCTCCAGCTCCTCACACAGACCAACTGACAGTTTGGGAATTTAGTGTAGTCTCATCTTCAGAGTCTGACCAAATCGGCTGTCGGCTAAATGTGATCTTAAAAGTATCCATTTTCTGTTTGTTCACAAAGTAAGAAGTAAAAACGTTCAAATGGCTTGAGCGTCTCCTAGCAAAGACGTTGCTTAGCAACGGCGTCTCAGCGGAGTGATACAGTGCTTGTGAAAAAAACGTGATGTAATGCCGAAATAACAGCACAGTTAGAACGCTTCTCAACCAATCAGCTTGCGTGCCTGGAACTAACTGTTGTATAATATTTAATCACTAAGTAGATGGTTAATAATGGTGGTATATATTAATGTCTATGTATACCTGTGTATGTAACATATGTATTAGATAATAATTCAATTACTATTTATTAATGCTGTTATTAAAGTTTTATTCTCCCTGTATTATCCACTTTCTATCTGTCAACTCAAACTAAAATTTCATTGTCTTTCTCTCATGTATCCAGTGGTTACATGTTAGGTGTTCGAAGCTCTTTGAGGTGTATTATATACTGTGTGTTTGTCTATCACTTCTTACCTTCATGTACAGGATGATTATTTGTGCAGTAGTGATGCTCCTCTACACTTTAACTGTTAACGATAGAAATAAAGAGAGAAAGATGATACTCACCTGATACAGTCAGTCTAACAGCATCACTGGTCTCTGAGTAACGCGGCTCTGTTGACTTTGTTCCCTTACAGCTATAATCACCTTCATCAGACTGATCAACATTAGAGATTTCATATTTCTTCCTTCTTTTAGCTTCACTGAGATGTTTATTATTCTTAAACCACTCGTAACTCCAGACATCTCCACCTTCTATGTCACATGTGAGAGTGACTCTCTCTCTGATGAACACATGCTCAGCTGGCTGCACTTTCACTTTGGCCTTTGGTCTCTCTGTTCAAAGAAGATGAATAATATATATAAATTATATATTATTTCTAAATATACATCTCACTGTTCCAAAACATAAAATAATTGTAAAATATTTTCTCATAATCATGAATTAAATCACGTCATTTGTTAAAACAGAAATCATGATGTACCTCTGACTGTAATTTTGACTGGATCACTGTAATGTGTGTAGTAGGTTTCTCCTCTGCGTGCTATACATTTATACTCTTCTGTTCCTGTATTAGACACTGTTATACTGATTGTGTTGGTGTTTTCATCAGCAGTCAGATAATTTGACTGAGTGTTTTTATACCAGAGAAACTTCCATCCAGTGAGTGAGAGCTGCGGTTCACAGATCAGAGTAACAGTGTCTCCAGTGTAGATGGTGCTCTGAGGCTCCACCCTCACTGCTGGTTTGGGTTTATCTGTTGATGTGAAATGATGAAGTTATCAGAGCTGCTTTCATCTTTACAACATGTTTAGCGCATGTTTGACATTTTGATTATGTGGCAATTTAGGAGCCAAATAGGCTTCTGTGTAATTTTGTCTTTCTAAATATTTGAGTACCGTTTGGGGGGCGAGCTGCACTAGGTGACGGGTCAGGTGACAAGTCAGGTGCTTATAGTCACAAGACCATAGATAAACATTCTTGCCGCGTTGGGTCCAGACAGGCGCGTCAACAGCATCACCATTTTAGGGCGGTCAACATCGCTGCTGGACTGCTTTCAGTACCATTACAGAGCGGCAGTTTAAGAAAGATACTGTCCAAAATTATACTATTTCAAGAATATTGCACTCAGAAAGCGGGATAGGATTATATAACGGAGGGAACGCAGCAATCCACGTTCATGTTTGTGTGATGCGTATTGTGTGATATTTATGTGTAGATATGGCTGTGTGGTTGGTGAGGCATAATGAACCTGTTGGTGTGACTGTTTTTCCTCTGGTTTTATATTAAGCTTCTTTTATTTAATAGTCTGTTCAGGGGGTCTTAACTTGATGTAGTAGTTATTTATTTACAATAATGGTTAATGCTTTGTAGCTAAATTATAGCATTCCTTAATCTGTGTAGATATTCATCATAGATTAACGTTAGCACCTTCTCACACGAACTCGATCTTATTTGCCAGCTTCTTGTTCGAATTTTTCCGTTCCACCTTAAATGGTGCATCAGCCAGCATCTTGTTCGAATTTTCTCGTTCCACCTTAAATATTGCATCAGCCAGCGTCTTGTTCGAATTTTCCCATTCCACCTTAAATTGTGCAGTTTAGGCACCAGAAAGTGACTGCTGCACCATTTAAGGTGGAACGGGAAAATTTTAAAAAGAAGCAGGTGAATAGGAAGCCACCTTTAGCTCATCCTTACTACTGTGTTTTGAAGGCTTATTGTATTTTTATGTGTATTAAGATTAGACGTGATTCACACATCGATAGATTTGCTTATGTGTGTGAGATTATGTTTCTACCGGAGCGCTATACTCGGTTTTTAACGTCAGGTGCAGACTTAATACTTTTCTGCTGGTGCGGACGGCTAATTATCACGATCAGTTAATAAAGAAATAAAAAATACCGAGAACAGTCCGTGGAATCTAGATTAATGTATGTCTCAGGATTATAACAAAGCAAATTTGGTGAAAATTGGTCGAGTAATAAGGAAGTTGTGGCCGATTTGGTCCTGAGACTCATCATCTCTCAATACAAGTGAATTTGTTCACAAGCGGATCTTGACCGCTCCAACATGGCGGACACGCAGGCGTATAACATCAGATAGCGAACAAAAGGCAACGCGGCATCTGGATATGTATATCTATGTCACAAGACACTCACAAAACGGGGGAGCTCGGGTGGTGGGAACATACGGTTTAACCACAATTGCTGTAACAAACAAAGTCGTGACTGGATTATAATACTGCAGTTCAAGCTTGTTATCTTCATCACTGGTGACTACATTTCATCATCTCCGGTAAAAGAGTTTGTTTTCTATAGAGAAATGTCTCAATGAACAGGAACACCACCCAACAGCGAGTTTTAGAGTGGACATTAGTTTATTGGATGCGCTTAAAGGAACATCCTACCCACTCGAGCAGGTCACTAAGAAATTACTTCTCCGAGTCACTACAGGCAGAACATTTACAGTAGTTTGATTTTCCTCCAATGTTGCTACAAATTTCTAACTGAATAAACAGATACTGAATAAAGTTGTGAAATAAAGTTTAATTACTTGTTTTTATCCACATGTAATACATTCACAGTCATGTCTAAACACATTATTTATACAGTCATATACCAGAGTTTGAGCACTCTGGTCAAATGATGTTTTGTTTATTTTCTAGGAAAAATAAGTTACACATCCTCTACAGAGAACACACTTAAATAGGTCATTGTCCTGCAAATGTAGGTGCACAATTTCTGTTATTTGCATAGCTTAAAAAAATGAACATAAAACATTTATGAAATAATAATAATAAAACATAAAACAGAATTTGTCACATTCTATTCAAAATGCCATAACATCTGCACAGGTCATATTTATGTTTTTCTTTTCAAACATGTTAAATTCATCAAAAAAAAACAGTAATAGTGCTTTTAAACAGTAGTATGTCTCTAGAGGATGTGTAACTTTTTTTCAGAAAATCAACAAAACGTCATTTGACCAGGAGTGTCCAAACTTCAGCATAAGACTATTGAAATATATTCACAAATATAAGTGGTTTTCTACTGATTGTATCTTGAAATATGTTAAAAGTACACTTCAATATTCAAAAGAGTTCAACATATTTAGAAAAAGAAATACACAGACAACGCTGCACTCTTTCAGCTTTCTTGTTGCAAAAACAAATTAGAGCAAATATAAATACAGTTCTGTACAACCTGTATTATGCAAATAAAATTATACATTCACTTTAAACAGTCTTTTGTGCTGTATTTGATTCAATACTGTCAAAATATATTACTTAACATAATTTAATATTTATGTTTAGAATATTTGTGCATATATTTAAGGAACACACCATTATACATATATTTGAGTGATGTATTTATTTGGGTCAAATTTAAAATGTGTGCATAAATTCTAAAACATATGTGAGAAATACATTTTAGAAGTACATTGTTTTTCCCATACAGGTTAGTTATTTGTAATTATTATTTTTTAATATTTACTGTTGCAAGTTTGCTTTTCTAAGTTTTGCAAGCAGAATGTTGGAATCCTTGGTGCACAGACTAATCAACACCAAAATGAGATCTCTGTTTATTTAAATGAGAAGCTCTATAACAGAATGAGACAAGAATCAGCAGAGCAGAAAGAAATACAACTAATTTAAACCCAATGATATAAATATCTAATTCTTATACCACATTCTATTCACCATTCAATTAACACTTTTTCTTGTTTGTGTTTATGAGTTGAGAGCTCTGAGCTCACAGGGGTTTCTAAGATACTGTGAGTTTTAAAGAGAATTGTGCTGATCCTCCTTTATCACTTCTTAACTTTATGTACAGGATGATATCTGTGCAGTAGTGATGCTCCTCTACACTTTAACTGTTAATGATAGAAATAAATAGAGAAAGATGAGACTCACCTGATACAGTCAGTCTAACAGCATCACTGGTCTCTGAGTAACGCGGCTCTGTTGACTTTGTTCCCTTACAGCTATAATCACCTTCATCAGACTGATCAACATTAGAGATTTCATATTTCTTTCCTTCTTTTAGCTTCACTGAGACGTTTATTATTCTTAAACCACTCGTAACTCCAGACATCTCCACCTTCTATGTCACATGTGAGAGTGACTCTCTCTCTGATGAACACATGCTCAGCTGGCTGCACTTTCACTTTAGCCTTTGGTCTCTCTGTTCACAGATGATAAATAGTTTAAAAACTGAAATATTCTCTCTGAACATATGATAACACTTAAAGAAGAACGCAGAATAATTGAAGGATTTAATTCCAAAACAAATTATAGACAACTTTCAAAATGCTCTATTTTCATAACGTACATTGTGAGTGAGCTTTACACATTCAAGAGATATCAATGTTATGATTAATATCACCTTTATTAGTGAAATAAAAAAAAGTATTTCCTATTACACATCAGCTGTTTTTCTTTTGGAAAACTCAGTATATCCTAAATTTATAATACAATACAAATATTATACATAACATATATTCTCTCTAAAACATTATAAACATTATAGAATAATTGTAGGATATTTTCTCATAATCATGAATTAATTCAGGTCATTTGTTGAAAGAAAACAGAAATCATGACATACCTCTGACTGTAATCTTGACTGGGTCACTGAAATCAGTTAAGTATTCTCTGCGTGCTATACATTTATACTCTTCTGTTCCTGTATTAGACACTGTTATATTGATTGTGTTGGTGTTTTCATCAGCAGTCAGATGTATTAATTGAGTGTTTTTATACCAGAGAAACTTCCATCCAGTGAGTGAGAGCTGCAGTTCACAGATCAGAGTAACAGTGTCTCCAGTGTAGACGGTGCTCTGAGGCTCCACCCTCACTGCTGGTTTGAGTTTTTCTGTTAATGAGAAGTTATCAGAGCTGCTTTCACCTTTATAACATAAGCAGTAGATCTAGCATTTTTAGCACATGCTTTGCTCTCTATGAGCTGGATGTTTCTATGTCCTATGAATGTTTTTGTCCAGCCAGACTGCACAATTAAGCCAGACTAGTTTCCCAGTACGCTAATGTACAATGTGCATAAAAACAGATTCTATATATCAGTACTTCAGTAAAAAAGTAAAAAATATACAGTAAAGATTTGCCCATATCTGGGATAAGTTATGCATGCAAATACACTTTTATATGAATGCAAATAAAACAATCTAGTAAATACAGATTCACCTTGAGTTTGTTCACAGTGGATGAGCACAATCAGCACTAAAGCAGAGAGAGACAGAGGACATGATGTACAGCAGAGTATTCAACTAAAACTTAAGTAGGTCCAGTTACATCAAAGCTCTTATTTACAAAAGTCCAGATAACCAAACTAACATAAATAAATGGAAACAATGATTATCTTTAAAAATTGGTACAGCTAACAAATAAAATAAGACACATCAAATGTATTTTACTAAACTGTTTTATATTGAACTTATTTAAATCTAATGAGCATTTAGAATGGTAAGGCCATTGGCTATTGTTTGATAGATATAAACAAATAAATAAATAAATTTGGGAGATTTTTTAAAAGCATTGCACAGGAAAGAAAAATCATGTTTTTTATAAAGTAAAATAAATTAATTAAATATAAAATTGAACTAAAATAAACAATAATAAAGGCTATTCTGAATGTGCATTTCACGCTTTTACACTCTCAGGGATGGACATACATCTAAAACTTGAAGGTGCAGTTACATCAAAGTTCTTGCCTTCAAAAGTCCAGATAAACAAACTAAAATAATTGAATGGCAATAATGAGAACTTTAAAATCAAACATATGGTCATTGCCAATTGTTTGTTAAAAAAAATGTAAAAATTAAAAAGTGGAAAATCTTTTTGGACAAAGAAGCCTTAAAAAATGTAAAATGTCTAGTTTTGCTGGACCGTCAGGATGCACACTCTCTCCTCTGCAACTTTTGGGGAAAAAAAAACGAATAAATAATTATCATTACCTTACTTTATGTGACTTTCTAAACTCCAAACAAATTTGTATCAATGTGTTAAAATGGGCTGTTTCCAATCACATAAGCGTGTAGAAGAGAAAATGTCTAATTTAATTTAAGTGGAATTAAAGTTATAAATCCACCAAACACTCGGTGTGTCAAGTTAGTGGCCGTCTTCAAATAGATCACTTGGAGATATAATAGCTCATTTGCAGTTCTCTTCGACTGAATAACTACCGAATTAACCCACTGTATGCTGCTACCCCCTCTCCTTTACTGGCTACCAAAGTCCGCTGAAATGTTACTAGCACTGAAAAGACGAATATCAAAAATAAAACTAACTTTACCGTGGCCAGCTCTGTCGCCGCTGAGATGAACCAGTGACACTAAAGCTCAGGTTTGCTCCGGTCCAGCTTAACCCCTGAGCTACTGAGTGACCATTAAAAAAAATAAATAAACGGTAAGTTCGACTCATGTCTGAGTACAGATACAGGTCCAGAACAAGTCTAAAACGTTAAAAAACATCTTTGAGTCTACAGCCCTACGAGAAAGTGAAAGCAAACACTGTTCGCTGGCTGCTGGGTTGGACAAAAAGGCTACTTAAGTGGCCGTTTAAACAGGGAATGCAGTATTAACTAGCTAGCTACCATACTTTAAAAGCTCACTTAAATAACAAATAATAGGGCTATTTTCCCTGTTTACTTCTGTGTCTCTAAGTTTAATTATATCTTTGTGCGCCATTTTAGATAAAACGTTGATAAGAAATAGTTCATATTAAATGTTTACAGATTAGAACATTAGCTAGCTAGCATAACAATTGCCCGTCCCTAGTGATGAACTCTGCTACTCTGCACTGACGTTGGCTACGCTAATTAGTGTTGTGATTTTTTCTTTTGTTTCCTTGTCACGATGTTCATGGAGTAATTGCACACATGAAGTGTTAAGCTAGTTATTAAGAAGGCTGTGATCCTTCATATATCTCAGTTAACGTGAGACTGTTGTATTGTACTGAAGGATTATCAGCATCTCTATATGTGGAAAATGGCCACTGTATGTAAACACGATTATGCAATACCCTCAAATAGCCAGCGTGTGTCGCCATTGTCCTTTATGTAACCTGGTTAATGATCTATATACACCGATCAGGCATATCTCCAGCAGCACTGCTGTGTCTGATCCACTCGTACCAGCACAACACACACTAACACACCACCACCACATCAGTGTTACTGCAGTGCTGAGAATGATCCACCACTCAAATAGTACCTGCTCTGTGAGGGTCCATGGGGGTTCTGACCACTGAAGAAAAGGGGGCTAATAAAGTATGCAGAGAAACAGATGGACTACGGTCTGTAATTGTAGAACTACAAAGTGCACCTATATAGTAAGTGGACCTAATAAAATGGACAGAGTGTAGAAACAAGGAGGTGGTCATAATGTTATGCCATGCCTGATCAGTGTATGTGTGAGTGCATCTCTTTCTCTAGACAGTAATATTCTCATTTGAATGTAACTCTAGGTTACTGTTTCTGCTAAAACGGGCATTGTAATGTTTACTGATACGTTTATGCTTGATTTATGGTTGATTGCATGTTTTATTCTGTTATTTCAGACTGATGGCAATACCGAATATCAAGCTGTATTGACAAAAAGACTGCTGGAACAAAATACAGTTAAAGAAGGAATTACATCTCCTCATCTTCATTCCTGTGTCCTGACCAATGCGCCACAGCTGCTCTGAGATCTAAGGTGGTCTTGGAATGGAAGCTTTTCAACACAAGCTACACTTTGCCAGTATTTTTTTCGTGATGGTGCTGTTTCCACACTGAAAATCATAATTGAAGATACATGAACCTTCTGAAACTACTGAGGTCCAGACTTCAGTGTCCTCATAGCTGGTTACGGCCATGGTCATCAAAGCAACTCTTGCTCATATTTCTCATTGTTTCACATGCTGCAATTTCTGTGGCTGTAAACCGATTTCAGCTACAGTGACCTCTCTGAACGTCTTATTTTCAGAAAGAAAAACCGAACCAAACCGAAAAAATACCACAGATCCCTGCTAGAAAAACCAGCACAGACCAGCATATGTTGTGTTTTAGAAGCTGATCAACCAGCATAACCATGCTGAGTGACCAGCTAAATCAGCAACAGACCACTATAAACCACCTTAAATCAGTTTAGACCAGCATGAAATTAATGATGGTTTGTTCAGCAGGGATGTCATGTTATAAAGCATGTTTCGGTTTTATGATGCTGATTCTGTTCCCTTTTGTGGTAAAAACATTGCTTGACGCTCGCTGTTTGTACGCTAGGCCTGCACACACATGAGTAGTTTAACATCAAGTGAAAGCAGCCCAGAGTAAATAATGAGAGCTATACATTTGACCCTCATATATATTCAAAACAACAGCTCATTTTTTGAATGGACTTTATTTGTTTATTAATTTATTACTACTTAAACACATTCCAATTATATCGTGTTGGTTTTACTGCTTCATTTCGACCAGTTTATTTGACGCACAGCTTCTTGTCAGTAGTCACTGTTGTGTCTCACACACATACACACTAATGTACACTATTATGCCATGGCATGGACGTGCATGCGAATTGAGATGAGCTTGTATGGTTTTAATAAGTGGAGGGAGATCCAAGTTTAAGCCGCCAGTGCCGTGGGTTTGCTGTTATTCCTCATTCACAACCTACATCCTAGCTACCGGTTTTGACAGTGTGTCAGATGGGAGGAAGTGTATATTGCTACTGCATTTAGGACAAGAGGGGCAGCATGTGTTTAGAACTCTTGGATTTACTAAAACAACATTTACAGCCATTCCACTGCTTCACGAAGTACTCTTCTCCATTGAGTCACGTTTCGGCAATGACATCAAATCACCTGGCGAGTCAGTGACACAGTTCATGGCAGACCTACAGCATTTGGCTACCTCTAAATTTGGGGCTCCACAAAATGAAATGATACAGGGCCAATTCATTGTCCATGCAAACTATATGGACTTATACAGGATCCAGACCCTGAGACCCGGTCCAGGTCAGCCAACGGCTTGGTACAGCCTCATTCAAACTTTCAGACGGAACTTGCTGGCATGCCGGTCACCTCTGTAAGGTGCGGGTTTCC